AAGCTGGACTGATTTTTTTTAAGCAAAACTGTGTCAAAGCTCAAAATGATAAAACAGGAGCTTGAAGGTTTCCGGGTTTTGTCCATCTAGTCGGAGTCGCTGCTGCAGGAGCTGCTGGAAGACTACAACAGACAACATGAGTCGTGTTATTCATCAAAACTCTCGAGAAGCTCAGTTTGTCAAAGTTTATCTAGCATTTAAAAAAGGCTGTCATGCAGGTATTGCAGGTTTTGCAAAAGCACTATGAAAAATACATTTCTGTGTTTTCCTGTGAGTTGCAAGTCCACAATTTGGTTGTGTTGTACAAATTTCTCATGTTATATGTAACACTTTGAATTTGTGGTTCGGTGCAATCAGTCTTACCCCGTGGCTGTCCTTTCCTTTCTTGTGACAGTGGCCATGCTTGTGACCGTGCTTGTGCTTATGTTTGTCCTTCTTGTCCTTTTTCTTGTCCTTTTTCTTGTCCTTGTGTCCATGTCCGTGTCCATGTCCGTGTCCATGTCCGTGCCCTTGGCAGGATCCTTGGCCTTGACAACAACCAGAACCAGGTCCGTGCCCATGTCCGTGTCCTCCATGTGGCCCATGGTGCTGAGGAGGACAGGTTGGTGGGACAGTCCCTGGAGGATAACCCTGTGGAGGGTAACCCCCCTGTGGAGGGTAACCCCCCTGTGGAGGGTAACCCCCCTGTGGAGGGTAACCCCCCTGCGGAGGACAACCCCCCTGCGGAGGATAGTTCGGGTAACCAGGTGGGCCTAAAAAAAAAGGAGAAATGAGGAATCAGCTGTAAGTTCAAGGTGATGATTGAGGAGGCGATCTAAAAGAGTGGTGTTTACCTTGGTTGTGTCCGTACATTTTGCTGCGTTACCAGGAGAAACTGCAGGTCCTGAAGGATAAAAACACAGATTTTCAATTAAAATCTTTGATAAACACAAAGACAAGAGTCTCACAGGTGTATCACAGGTGAACATACCGAGTGCTGAGACCAGATCTGCAGATGCAGACGTCACCTGCTGCTGCTTTTTATGTGCAGCTGAACCTGAAGCAGGGGCCAAGTCTGAACTCCTATCAGACCATTTTCTGTTTTATGACCTACATGGGTGTGTGTGTACAATCATTAATATACAGTCAGCAAACTAGATTTTATAAGGGTGCACACCCACAGACCCACATGATCTATTTTGCCCTGTGGTTAGAGATTTTTTTTGAATCATTTGCAGTCCTGCAAAACTTTTGAATACTTGGTGTCACCTGTTAATGCTTATAAAGCTGAGCATCTGCACAGACGTTATGCACAGTCAACACACAGGCGCATCGGTGCAGGTTTCATATTATTATTGAAGGAGACACGTTACATTTCTGCTGAATTCTGCACTGATTTGTGATGGAAATTTCTTAATCATGAAAATAAAGCACCATGTTGCAATTCAGAAGTAGTCCTTGACTTCTTTCACTGTGTCATTTGGGGGTAGAAAGTACAAATACATGTAATATTGGGAGAGACATGTCTGCTGCATTTCCCTGAAATCTAAACTCATACGTAAGATGATTCTTTTCTCACAGAAATTAATATTTCCAGGCTTAAGGTGACATTAATCTCACTTGTGCACTGAACACACTTTTTGTTGTAATCAGATATGAAAAATGCACCACCCACTGGAATTAAGACACAAAGTTCCCATCCACAGGATGCAGTACACAGATTAAATGGCACAAAAAAACCATAAACTGTGATAAAAACTGAATTAAAGTGGCTGTACTGGGAGCTGCAGGGTGTGTAACAGTTAGGAGAAAAACAGCACTGAACAAAGGTCCAACCTGCCCTGAGTAAATAAAGATAAGGCACAGAGAGGAAGCAGAACAGCTGAGGTCAAATATAAAGTGGCACAAATGTGGGGACTGACTGTTTTTAAGATTAATTTAGTATAATACAAAAAACACTTAGAATGATCATAATTTAACTCAGATACTTTTAGGAACAACCCTCTGCTTGTTACATTTATTTAAAGTCTGCTTCACATCAGCACGTTGACTGCTGTAAAAGAGCCAGAGGCAGGTCACCACAACCTGCCGGAGCCTTGATGCCATCCCTTTATGACCACAGTGTGCCCACCTTCTTCCAGCATGTTAACACACCACATGACAAAGCCCCTATAGTCTCAAACTGGTTTCTTAAGCATGACAATGAGTTCTCTGTGCTTCAGTGGCATCCACAGTCAGCAGATCTTAATCAAATAGCCTAATAACCTAAGCTAATGATGAGATCTAGGAGTGGTCCTCCCAACACAGCTGCACACTGATTTTAGTTGCACCTTCTCAAGTATAGATAAACAGTAGTTAAGCCTATGCAGCACACAAAGACTCATGCACCACTAGGCCAGCAGGGGCTGCACAGGGATCATGTTTAATATGAGTACCCACCACTATAACAGGACACACATGAAAGTGAGAAAGAGGCCATAAAGAAAATAAATACATTTTTGTTCTCAAATTCAAATTTATTACCACAGAGATAAATACAAAGTCACCATTATAGGCTCACTGTGTGTTTTACATGATCTAAAAGTGTGTTTGCATTTCTTGGGCCAAAAACAGGTTTATATTTGAGTTAACACAAGATTTTTACATCAGAAAAATGATTTTTGTAATGTGTCAGGAAGATTTCCAGGTGGAATGTGTTTCATGGAGAAGTCTTCTAGTCAGAGTCACTGCTGCAGGAGCTGCTGGAGGACTGCAAGAGGGATAAACACAAGATATTTTAAATACTCTGAAAGTATCTAGCACGCTGATTTAATTTCAGTTTTATATCCTCCATTCTGAGTTACTGTAAAAATGATGGCATCAGATCATCAAGGTTTTTGGCTCAGAGTGACTAAATGTGACAAATTCAGTCAAGACTGAGCAAGTTATAAAAACATCAGTGTTGAAAGTCGATACTTGGTGTGTTACACTTGGATAAAAGGCCTCACTGAAAATCGGGTTTCAGGAAGGATTGCACAAACTTGCTAGTGTCATCATACCTCACCTCTGTTTGAACTCCTATTCAGTAGTGCCGTGCTGCACTCCTGAATTCTACCCTGTTCGTAGCCTTTCCATTCCTGAATGTTCACAGCTGGGAACACTGGCTTTAATAACCTTTACTCTAAAGCAGTAGTCGTGAAAACTAAAACAATAAGTGTTAGGTTGTGTGGAGCTCCGGGAAGCCGCAGATTTGTGTCAAAATCTGTCTGTGATCATGAATTTGAGCAAACCTATTAAGTTACTCATAGGTTTGACACTGGTATTATAAATGAAGACACATACAGCTACAGGGACTCTGCCCGAGGTCTCTTCCCCTTAGAACAAAACTTACTCTCATCAAGTGCTGCTCATAGGTGATCTTTGGACTGTCTTTTGGTTCTCCCTCTAATATTGTTGAGTATTTTTTATTACAGTAACTAAAGAAAATATAAAGCAGATCTAATAGCATAGCAAAATGTACATTGTTGCATAAATAATCATATCTTACCCCATGACACTGTTTTCCTTTCTTGTGACAATGACCATGCTTGTGGCCATGTTTATGCTTGTGGTGGTGACCATGATGAGCATGGCCATGCCCGTGACCATGATGTCCATGCCCGTGACCATGATGGCCATGCCCGTGACCATGATGTCCATGCCCGTGACCATGATGTCCATGCCCGTGACCATGATGTCCATGGCCATGACCGTGGTGTCCATGACCGTGGCCATGACCATGTCCATCACCATGTCCATGAGTAGATCCGCAGCCGGGTCCTACCATGTGGCCATGACCTCCAGATTCTCCACAAGGTGAGGTCTCTGGACAACATCCAAATGGACCAGGCTGAGGTGGACATGAAGGTGGTGGGGCAGGGCCTGGTGGACATCCTCCTGGCACTGGATGAGGTTGACATCCTCCTTTTAAAAATAACATTTTGCTCCTTAAAATTC